AAAAAATCACACACAGATTTCCTGACACAAGTCTCGGTTAATTCATAACCAACTATAAAAAATAAGAGAAAAAAACTAATAAAATAATTTGCAACAATTTATTAAAGGATGTTTGAGCTGAATTATTAATTATGAATCAAAAATTATAATTCATAATTTCATCAATGAGAGTCTAACTACTGAAATTGAAAAACAACATGTGTTGCAACAAAGGAAGGAATTGTGGGACTCCAAAAGATGCTGTATTCGCCAGAATTCATTTGTTTTTTTTAATCATACTAAACAAATTAGACTGGCACAGTCGGGGAGATTAATTTGTTTTTGTAGTTTAATAAATAAAATAAACAAATTTGCGAAATGGAGGTGTTATCGCGAAATCACCCCGACTGGTTTATTCTACAGGAAATTCATTGCTATTAAATATTCATGAATGCACATATTATAATGAGGTGGGTGCCGAAATACGTGCATAATGAGGTCAACATGGTAAAAGTCACACTGCAGACCCAACATGGCAGCACGTTGAAATTCGAGTTTGTCGTAGTTGTCGTTTCTAATTCATCACAATGATCTACAATCAGTCGACGTCGTCTCGGTCAGAGGTCAACTGAAGAGACGTTGTGATAGGCTTAGATGATTGTCAATTAAAACACTCATTAACATAATTACCCATTGAAAAGTCAACGGGTTCATGCAATGTCGATAGAGGGCCATGCAGAATAAACCAGTCGAGGTGATTACGCAGTTACAGGGGATTTCGTCACCTCCATTTTGCAAAATTTTTATTTTATTTTCCAACTACAAAAACAAAATAATCGCCCGACTGCGCCAGTCTATAAACAAATTTGCCTGGTGCCATAGGCTGAAAAAAGTTGATATATTGTCATTGAAATGGTGCATATTGTTCTCAATTTTACTTTGTTTTAAATGAGATTTCCCATTTATTATATACAATAGAAATACAAGTTCTATAAATGCAGTAAATACCAACATTCTTGGCAGGAATTTCCTGAATACATGATGATGAATAATTCTGTCACTTACCTAACCACCTTATGTTCTCAGAATGATCAGATTCCTTCACTATCATGTCAACTAATTTATCCTGTATTTCTTTTTCTTCTGTGGCACTCTCATCACTGTCCTCCCCAAGTAGAGCATAAATAAACACTAATAATATCAAAATGTCTTCTAGTTTGTGTCTAAAAATGAAAAAGTAAACATTTCGTCTAAATTTTCAAGCTTCCAGCAAGTGCGCCCTCTAGATGAAAACAAATAATTCTTTTGTTTTTTTCTGAATTAGAAAATATATATTCCCAGCATTCTCACTTAACATGACCCATAAAGCATATTTTTTCTTACATTTGAAAAAAGAACTGTCAGAAATAGTCGGTCCTGTTAGGTAGCCACAAACAGGACAAGATGTTGATATGATTGAAATGTCCAAATAAATACATATTCAATCACAGTGTGAAAACCAAAAAAGCCTTAATGCATGACAACAAAGAAGTTGCCAGCCATAACTTTTATCTCCTCTTGAAAACAAGAATATTTACACCTTGTGCAGTACCAGAATATTGTGATTGCGCCTGACATGAGGCCAAGAAATTTCATGTAAATGTTTTTCAACAAAATTCTGACAAATAAAAATCTGCGAGCATGATTACCGGAAAGACAATATATCTTACCTATTTTCTTGTTTTTCTAATAAATTCATTATTTGACTTATTGCACTCGGACAGTCAATGTCTCCAGTATTCAACATCAGCATTTTCTCGATACTCAGTAGATTCTCCATTGTGGAATAACTGTCATGTTTCAGAGTTTTGACACACGCCAACGCGACTTGTAACAATCCAGCATGCTTTCTGAACGCTTCTGTCTGGCCTCTAAGAAAATAAAGGTTACGAACTGTTGAGACCTAGGAATTTTTACCTAAACTCTCAAATGGACTTCACTGCAGTTATAAAGAATCCAGAGTCAACAAAGAAATGTGTGGTGCACACAATTAACCATACAAAAGTTACACTTATGAAACTGAGATAATCTGTTATTTAAGAACAACATATCTAGGGACATTTATATGAAATTTTGGAATAAAATTTATCATGCCTACCTTTGGTAAGAAACTTGAGTTTCAAAAATTTATTAACATTCAAAAATAAGAAACCAATACTAAAGTTTACTATTAAACAAGTAATTGTTAATGACATAGTCCCTGTTTTCATTATAGGCATGAGATATTGAATGACTACTGAAGAAATATCCATGACAACAGCCGACATGTATGAGATATGGTCAGCTCTGTGGAACTGCATTGATGGCCAGTCAAGCATTCAAATTTGAATCAAAAATGCAAGTGCGTTTGTACAACATGATGTTTGAAATTTGAGCTTGATTGGTCAGAAATTTGGACCGGAACTACATTCAAAGTGGCAACCAGTCGGACATTTTGAACCCAATCCGGAAGTAATATGACGTGCATCAAAGTCACATCGTATTAATCTATGGACCAATTTTGAACAAAACTCATCCATGCACAACTGAAATCTGGTTCCTGAATGGTAAACATATGTGATTTTAATACATTTTTAGCATTAAAATGGCTGACATTCGGCCATCTTGAACGAGATCATGAAACAAATGTCTGTGCATATGTTTGACATAATGTCTAATCTATGTCAGATTAAGGTTGTTATACCATGTATAAATGTTATACCATGTTAGGAGAAGTCATTTAGATAATAGACAGAAAGTGATTGCATTGTCATAGATTCAAAATTCAGCAATATCAGCATGAAATACTACCCAATAACTAGACATTAGCACATTATAAGGTTAACAAAAATTAAAATTTCATGAAGTCAAAGTTGGAGTAAGCAAAATTACAGAAATAACAATTTGCATAATTTTTCATCATTCATGATGTGACAGGCCTACTTACAGAGAACGTAATTTATGACAGAACATTGCGTAAAGTGATTTAAAGTGGGAGGGTCCCAAACAGTGATAACAAAACATGCTAAAAATGCAAAGGCTCATGGGTAGATGCTTGTTTGTAAACATTGACACGCTATGGCAATCTGACGTATGCGCAGGTGACAACACTCCCGTTTTAATTAGAATTTGAGCTCATAAATGAACTTTAGATCCATTCAAGGTTTCCCAAATAGTATAGTTTATGGTATACTGTAAAGGGATTAATTATTCACTGGGTTTTAATTTTGCTTATTTCGCTGACTGGATAATGCGCTAAATTAAAACCCAGTGAATATGTAAAATTTAGCATAGAAATCTAAATGATAAAACCGTGAATTTAAAACCCACTGAATATGCCTTAAATGGTAAATCAGCGAAATTTAGACCCAGCGAAAATTAGTCATTTTACAGTAATAAGTTTAAAGCGAACCTAAATGCGGCCTTAATTTATAGTTGTGTATATTCTAAACTGTATTTGAAATAATATTGCAGTGGTTTAATTTTGTTTTAATTATAACTGTAACTTGGATAGGCATTTGAAGTTCTTGCAATTAAAAACCATGGAGGCCTTCATGGACCGAAGGGAATAAATAATGAATGAACATATTTAACATCCGGGTACTTTTCAAAGCTATGACGTTTTAGTATCTGATCGCATTCGTATACGCCATTGTACATAGCCGTTCATGCTGACAAGCATTGTGTACTATTAGTATAAACTCAACTTTTATATGCACAATGTGCTTTTTAAAACTTGGGTTAGAGCATTATGCGTTTGAATCACAGTATTCTGAGAGTGGAAGCCCAATTTCGTTAAAGTACCGTACTTCCCCGATCGTAAGCCCCTCCCGAGTATGAAGCCCATCCTTCTATTTTTACTAGGTATTTATCGAGTTTCGAGCATTTACGATTATAAGCCCAGGGTGTTTTTACTGGGCGTCGACGATATTCTTTAAAATATGCGTGTAAAAAGTGTGTTTTATTTCATAATAATCGTGATTGGCATGGTAGTTTGGTTCGTGCTTTTATGAGAAAACTCGCATTAATTTCATAATGCATGGCGAATGTACACAACGTGGTTCGCATCCTTTCTATTCTGTCATTTACTCAGGATGAACCCCGATGTTGCAATACTGGAGTAATCCATATTTCTTTGAGTAGTACAAAGTGTCAATTCAAAGTGTCAATGCATCATGCAGTTCATGTGCATGGTCTCACACTGCACACTTTTCAGAATATAAGTGGCCTCAGATTGCAGTGCTATACCATTAAGTGTATGCTCCCAATTTTCCTCTCTTATTCAAAGTATCAATGCATCATGCAGTTAGAGTGCATGGTCTCACACTGCACACTTTTCAGAGTATAAGTGGCTTCAGATTGCAGTGTTATACCATTAAGTGTATGCTCCCAATTTTCCTCTCTTACTCAAAGTGTCAATGAATCATGCAGTTCATATGTGTAGTCTCACAGATGTTTTCTTTATTTGAAAAGTAAGCAGTATGCTTGATCAGATTATATTTGTGTGAACACAAAATATAATGCTAATGGCAAACATGGTACCATCCATTCCATTCATTCATCTATGCACGGCACCTATCCAGCATGAACATAGAACATTGCAGAAACCATCATCATATCAATACAAATGAATAGATACATGTAGCTTTCGAAAAGCCAAAAATGTGATCGTTAAGTCGTGTACCTGATTATAGGGCATGGTTTACTTTGAGACTATCATGAAAGGCCTAGGGTTTGAATGATGTGACATGTTGGCGACTGTGAAAGATTTTTAAATTCTTCCTCCACACTCAGTTTACCCATGGTTACTATTAACCGTCGTTTACTTTTCGGAAATTGCGAATCGCCAGTTTTTAGGGAAAAAATCATCGTTTTTTCGTTGCAATCAGTGCTACAGATCGCATTTTAATATTGCGGTAATTCACTTCCGCATTGCGTTAAAAAATCATCGTCAATAATCGGAAAATTTCATCATTACGACACATTATTTTGATTGGTTAATGAAAGACATGACCTGTTAGGTCAAAGGAAGTTGTTTCAGGTCAAATCGTGCTGAAAAACCTCATGGTGAAAAATTGCTTTGCGTCGAGAGTCTGTGTACGATCGAAAATATACCAAAACGAAGATAATGATAAATGCCTTTGACTGTTTCCCCACAGACCCTACCCATTATTTCACCGTAAATTCAGACGGTATGTGAATTCTATTGTAATAAAATGTGTGTTTTTTATGAACATGTTTGTTTCTTCATTGTAAGTGTTGTGGAAATCAACTACGCATTTTTTGTCAAAAATAAGTATTATTTTCCCGAGCCCGGCGTGGTGAACGAATAATATTTTTTGGATAATTTTTCGTTGTTGGTGTGTGGGTGATGAGAGTATATCGTCGACGATGCCCCTTGTTCGGATGATAGTTTTATTTCAAATTACACAGAAGTCTGTGAACAATCTGCTCGGTGTTCCTGTGACAATTGTCCCATGATTTGCCAGTGCAGCACCGTGAATACATGGACGAAAATGTTTCCACCACCACCCTACGAACTCAAGATTGCATACTCCAGCATCCAGACTTTGAAATAATTTGCACACACAGTGCAGTACTGGAAACAGCATTTATTAGACAGTTAAACAAACAAAAAATGCCTGTCTCGATCAATCGCAAATCCATAATGTTTGTATGTTGATACGCTTGTATAAAATAACATTAACATAAAAGTCGAAACAACGTAGACTAGAAGTCAATTCACCAATCCAGCCAACTATGGCTCCCTAAGTTGTTTATATTTAATCAGATACTAGTTCGTCATCATTCTTTGTTACCTTACCTGTTTATACCTCATGAGGACGTTTTTTTATGGCAAGATGGCACAAACGAAAGTCCTTCGCAGGTTTATGGTTTCTCATATATTAAAAATCATTTTTTTTAAATATTTTTTTCAAATTTTTAATCAATATACATAACTTGATAAATACAAACACCAAATTAGGCTCTATTTAGTTCCCCTTTAATTTACATAAGAACATTTCTGCATGATTTCAGCATTTATAATATCAAATTTAAAGGAAATTAAAATCATTTCAAAAGAACTTTTTTTGAAATTGGACCTGTATCTTGATATTTCACTGTAAAACTTACTTGAACAATTTGAGATGAGTGTGTATGCTATCCGCAGTCACTCTCCCAATTCTACCTGTCAACTGTAGAGGGAGCCCTTCTTCTGACGCTGCTTCTACAATCTGACGGTTTATTTCCATCAAACATTCCTGCAAGTAAACACAATTTACAATAGGTGATTTTCAGATCAACTGCGAGATCTCATGAGTTGTGTGAAAGACGTGTGCCGAACGTCTGTCGCAAAAAACGAAGATTTGATTTTGAACTCAAATTACGTAGCTCACATTGAAAGACCGATCTATGACAGGGGAATGTTGTGTTTGAATACCCTTTACTTCATCAAAATTACCCATCATCAAATGTGTACAGCACGTTATTAAGCACGGAAATATCTCCCAAAATACTTCGCGTTTGTTGAATCCAACTTTGTTTTCCTATTTTTACATTCAATTTCATGCATAACGCAGGATCTTGCAGCGATAAAAGTGAGAAAATAATGCCCTCACAATCTCAAAACAAAGAATATTAATAAGGCTGTCACAATTTTACAAAATACAGAAAAACTGTCTAAACCAAACACACAGATAAATATTGTGAATTATTATTTAATAATCTATTACTTAGAAGCAATCTCTGATAGAAGCACATGAGGACATTAAATTACATTTACTCCATTAAACAGTTCATTAAAATACAACTTATTTTGACCACAGACACCCCTCCCTCTGTCATTGACCTCTTAGTGCAATGACTACTAATAGAACAAATATGGTATTACAGATAATTGATTGGGTTACCTTGTGTTTACTTGTTATCATAGCATTAAGTAAACTGGATGCTGCACTATCACCGGGATGAGCCAGGCAACCAGGAACCAACACATCACTGCAGTATTGACTGTAAAAATAAAGCCGCTACATGTGAGCGAACTTTGAACAGCGTATACTTTCTATGTTAGCTGTATTCAACACGTGTTAGTAGCAAGGACAATAGTAAACCAATAAACTCGAAATATGTTAGCTTTCGATCAAGGTGCATCACAAACCATAACATCAAATTTGAGGACCAGAATTGCCTTAATAGGCCATTTTTGATAAATTGGTAGAGAAAATCAATATGTATATGTAAATTATCATACATGGTTTTTATCTTAAGTTTGAATGTAATCAGTCAAAGCATGCCTGAGAAATTGCTCTAGCTAGCCACATGCACATGGATGGATGGACGGAACCAAAATTAACAGTTCCCAAATTCAGTCTAAAAAATATTTGTATAACAAAACTCACCTTCCCTCTGAGCAAAGATCAGCCATGTTGACAGCCACATCTGAACTATGACACGGTAGCCTAGGCAACACAGCTATGACCTTATCGGCCAAAGTATCACCATGGTGACCAGTTGGTCCAACAAGATCTAACGACCGGTCAATAAAAACTATAGATGCTTTGTTTGCAGCACTCTGTAAGAAAGCGAACAAATTTTATTATATTTAATGCAAAGCTTTTTAGACAGGGACAATAAAATCACAGAGTCTTTATAGGAAATGTTCAAAACAGAACTCACCGATCTCTGAAAAAAAATATTGCCTGTCTGTGGTACACACAGGCAAAGAGAATGGAAGAAAAAGACAGAGAGAAAGGGAGAGAGAACCGTGAGTCCTAATACTACAGGAACTGGGAAGAACGTCACAGATATAGAATTACATTATCATAAATTAGAAGGCTCAATATCATTTGTACAGCTGGTTGATACAAGCATGCCAATGTCAATGTCAATGATGGATATAGGATGACATACTTGTTTACATTATTTGCATGTGCACTGTGATTGGTTGACAAAAACCTGTTGTGCACTGTGATTGGTTGACACAAACCTGTTGTGCACTGTGATTGGTTGACAAAAACCTGTTGTGCACTGTGATTGGTTGACAAAAAAACTGTTGTGCACTGTGATTGGTTGACAAAACCTGTTGTTAGCATGGAAAGGTAAAAGAATACCAATCACACTACCTACATGGTTAACTACCTGAACTGAGTGTTTGGCAAAATGGCTCTATTTAAAATCAGAATGATGGAGTTATTTACTTTTCTGTCATATTCAATAATGAATATTTAATAGAATACTTTTTCAAGTTTATTTGAAAAAAATTGAGCACAATTTGCAACTAAAAGCTGTCAAAAAGGCAGCCATGTGAATCTTCAAAATATACATAGTAAATGATGCATGGGCCTTTCAAATTACATTTCCCATTATGCATTGTTGCAACCAGAGATTTTAAACATACACATACTACTTCTTAGTTTTTGTTACCCATATATATTTATTGCTGAATGTTCTTTTTCCAAAGATGCAATAAAATATTCCTATTACATGTATGTGCTCTAGTTAATAGCACAACTTATGAACAATTGATGCGATATATTAGCGCTGATCCGTGCACAACAATTTTTGTCAAACATGTGCATGCTGGGTATACCAATAATATAGACAAATGATGTCATAGTGTGCCAGTCTAATGCATTGTTATTAACACATTGTCTGCTGAAAGTTTATATCGAAAGCCCAAAGCCATCTGTGGTAAGACATGTACTGTCCAACTATGAATACATGCAACTTGAAAGGTACATACTTTCCGTCTGCTCTTGGCTGACTGTAAACCAGCTAATTCAGATGCAATTATCGCACTCAGTGTCCCCACTGAATAACAATCTTCGTTTACTTTTAATTGATCAAGTAATGAACTCATTGAACAAACAAACATCTACAGAGAAGATCAAACATTAGAAGTTATAAATATCTGCTACATTCACACAACAGCATTTTATCTGAGCCCTATGAATCAAGTCGGCTCGGGCAAGCAAAAATGGCTGTGTATACACGTTAGGGTTGAGCCAATCATGGCCCCAACTGTGTATACGCATCGGGCCCAAATCACGCCCTCAACCGTCTTCTTCAAGTAACCAATAGAATGCTGCCGTGTGAACATAACAATCCATTGAAGGTATCGGGTAATAGAAGAAAGAACTCAATATATGGCGATTAATTACATTTATCCCAATATTTATGATAGAGAAAACAATTACCCTTGCAACATTTATTTGATTTTTTACACTCTGAAGCAAAGAACACGCACAATAATTGCAGGGCTTTTTCTTTGAAAATCACAATAATTTGATTTAATTAAATATTTATCAGCATAGCTACAAGAACAATGTACCATGTTTCCATGATTTGATCTGTTAATCTCACCTGTTGCAATGAGCTTATAGTTGTGTAATATATATTTAATCCAGTCTACGGTCAGACTCACATTTATTCTAGTACTAGATAATAGACCAATTAGACGGCTAGATTAAAACTAAGCATGTTATAATGTATATTGATATTGACAATGATGGAATGTTTGTATTCATGTGCTGCCTATTCCGAAATACCTTTATCTTGTTTTGCAGTTCTTTAGGCAGCATAGAAAACTCTACATCAGACAGAGATTCAATTGGTTTTTTATCCTAGAAGAGAAATCATACATGAGAAAGTAGGTGTAATAGTGTTACGGAATTCAGTGACAACATTATGTTATCTCCTCATATCACTGGTTTGTGGAGCTGATACAAGTCATAATCCAAGAATGACAACCAGCTCTACATATAAGTGATAACCTTTCTATGATACTGTGGAATACTTTATTTTAGCTTGAATTAATTTTCACTGAAAAGACTTTTTAGGCGTTTTGTATGGAATTTATTTTCACTGAGTTCAATTGTTAATTATAGGAAAAAAAGTATATTCGCTGGATTTTATTTTCAAGGAATCATCCCTTCAGCGAAAATAAATTCCAAGCGAAAATAAAGTATTCTACAGTATGCTAATTTATGCTAAATATGCATGCGTCAATGCAGTGAACAAGCATTTCCATGCCATTGGTTTTTCAAAATTGACAGACCTATTATGCTTCCTTTTTCAAAATAAACTTCCAGTCATCATTGTACTGAATTATTGTCGTTGCATCACGCGAGTAATTGTTATTACTAGTCTGAAATTCTCATATTGCAATGATAAAAACAGTACCATTTGACGATTTGGTTTTCTCTGTGTATTGTTGCAGCACACACAAACTGATGACCTTTATCATGCCATGTTTTTAATAGTGTGAAACATCAGTTACACTAATCATACCACAATACGGATTTAGTAATTCCTCATTACTATTCAGATTTATGCAAATATCACTATGAGATGTATTTAACTGCTTCATGCGATGTCCAATATTTTCATTAACCAATCAAATATACTGGCCATGATATTACTAGCATTGTATCTAGGCATTAGTATAGTGGCGTAAAGCAAGTCGCATGCCATATATATTCCACCTTAATAAGGACAGTGTATTGTATAAACACATGGCAAAATACTGATACTGTTATTACCCAAAAACCAGATGTTAGACCCAGAAAAAAATTTTAAATTTACCAAACCATTTCTTTTCTAAAATCAATGTGGATGTATCTATATTAGTATGCAAATAGCTAGGAAATGAATTTTCTGTCGACCTATAAGTCATTTCTCAAATATGCAGCATGAACATTCTAACATTTTACCCCCATTTGTTTTTATTGGTCATTTTTGCTCAGTGTAATGAATAGATTAAAAATTAATTACATTGTGAAAAATTGCCAAAAAAATTCTGACTTCTGAAGTATAATTTGCTTACCTTGTGTTTCCGGTACTCCTGTAACCTTCTGAGATCAGAGGGTAATAGCGGGAATAATGAAGTGTGTCCCGGTGTAATGAACAAGCTAGGACACACACTAGCTGTAAACAATGGAACACACAGTATTTCTGTTGTATAATTCTGTGAAGTGAAAACACAAAAAATATAAAAATACTTCCATTCCATTGAGTAATGATATGAACTATTATTGTCTGTATTCATTTAAGAGCCACTATTAAAAATAAAGTTTAAAAGCAGGTTCAGAAGAAACTAAAAAATATTGTCATTTTTTATAAATTTTCATTATTATAGGTTAGGTTTAACAGTAAACCAGCCAATAGTTAAAGGCGAAATTCTCAAACACTACTTGATTACCAAATGACTTATATAATGTATTCTTTTTATTTGAAAGGAGCATAAATGTTAAATGTTTCATAAATAGTTAATAAATTTCTATCAAAAAAACAAAACATTCAAGCCTTCATGATATTCATTGAGCAGCAAACAAACATTATATTGACAAAAAAGATTTTGAATTGTCATTTGAAATTTACTTTATCTTGGCAAAGGTTTCTATGGTCAAAATATCTTCAAATCATAAAATGTTACCCAGTGATAAAGTAATAATCAATGAACATTGCCATGTGAATTATGACTATGAACTTGACAAAAATTTGAATTAGTCTTCTACACATGTACTTTAAGGTAGCACCAGGGGGGAATTGAAGAACAGTTGAGCTGTGATGAGGAAGTATGTGAACATTTAATTATGGCAAAATATGTGTTTCAGGAAAGCTGAGATATAAAGAAATATGATCATGTAATTTTAATGTTAATATTAAACAGATTAAATTATGAATATTTCAGCGAGGATCTGAAAAAAAAATTCTTTCACAGGATTGGTCGTTTCTCAACATTCTTTCATTCTATGTTCATGATTTTTTTCACTGTTACTTAACAAGATAACAATATTTGAATAGACCATTTTCCGTACACTGCGAGAATCACGCGTTATGTGTGAAATCGAACGTAAAAACAGGACAAACAAAGGTCATAGCGTCGTAGTGGCGTCAAACATCGTGTGGGATTCGACAAACGCGAAAGTATTTTGGGGGCATTTCCATGCTTAACAATGTGCTGTCCAGATTTGATGATAGACAATTTCAATTAAGTAAGGGTATTCGGAAGCAATATTCCTCTGTCGAAGATCGGCCGGTCGGTGTGAGCTATGAAATAAAGAAATTCAAGTTCAAAATCAAATCGTTCGATTTTTGCGGCAGACGCTCGACGCGCGTCTTTCATGCATCTCGCGAGATCTCGCAATTGTACGGAAAATCACCTATTTAGATGGCCAAAATCTCAAAATTAGATTCTCACAAAATAGTTTATAAGATGTATTTTTTAGCCCATTGCAAATATGTGTATTGTTAGCGTGAAGAAAGGTATTTCACTGTTTATGATAGTTCAAAATTAGTTTCCATGAAAATGCAATAAAACATTTCTGTGTACCTGGCCATGGATAAAGACCTAATTTATTATCATATGTGTCCCATAACAATTATACTTTGGAACCTAAAAAGTATCTGATCTTTGTGGTAGACTGTCCAGAAAGAGACAGAACTAGCTTTAGTAAGTTGTCGTACCACACAATACATTGTCTTGAGTTATCACTTAGCCTGGTTATCTATATGAAGGGTGAAGCTACAAATTGTTTGTTTTTTTATGATTCAGAGATCCTTTGAAATATGTATTTTTTTACCCATTAGGCCAGACTTTTATTATCCCTTGTTTCACAAACCCGCTGAATGAACAGGAGCCGAAAATGAAATAAAAATAAAATTTTATTTCAGCGTAATTTCTTGCGCTCGCCGACTTGTAAGTGGAAAAAATTGCTAAAAAAAATATTTTTATTTTCATTGTTTTTTCCGCCCACCACATAAGAAACCCAAGTTGCATTTTCAAGGAAGTATCATGATCAAAGTACCGAAGTCTCGCGCAGATGAGAAACAAGGTTATACATGGAATAAAATTTCTTCTCTTCGATCAATTATCTAATGGAAAAAAAAATTAGTTTTATTTTTTTCCCGTCCTCCTCAAAAAAATTGCCTTATAAAAACTCGAGAAACAAGAAATAAAAGAAGTCTGGCATTACTACTTTAAGTACTAAAAGCACTGTCTTACCATATTGCCCATCCAGAGAAGCATCTGCTCTTCAAATTCGCCAAACAATCTGCTTTCCAGCGCTGGATCGTACGTTTCATTTTTAACATAGAAATGTACTTCAGGGGTAGCGGCCGTGATCACGATACAGTACTGGAAATTACTACCTGAAACAATGTCTTTGATGATACTGGCAGTTCGACCAATTAATGGTGTACTGACTATAAAGACTGCTTTCACCTGAGATGCACTGCCACTCTGTAGTTAGAAGACAAATAAAATTAAATATTTCAAATATATTGTAGGGTATTTCTATATTGTATTCTTTGGAGAAAAACATTACACAATAGAGATGTTAAATGTGTTACATACATGCTAACCAGGGTTTTTTCCAGAAAAAATGAACAAGAGGGAGAACACACAGGCGAGGGAGCGAATCGACCTAGAAACGGCATTTCGAAAGGTTTCTGTGTCGTTTTAACATTGTATCTATCGCCATTGAAATAATTTTGGAGTAATTTTTAGTGCATTTGGTCTCAAGACTCATTGTTAGCTGGTGTGGCTGGGAAGTTTTCATGGAGAAAAATATATTTGAGAAAGATTTCATGTTGTACGGCAGCACGGAAGTGTGTGGCTTAAGAAATATATTTATGATTTCAAGTTCATTTGGCAATTTGATAAGAGGGTGCCAGCCGAGAGTATCAGGGTGCTGCGCCCCAGTTTCCCGGTTTAGAAAAAGTATTTTCTGAGGTAAATGTTTTTTTAAATTTCTATAGGAAATATTCATGCCTTAACGAATTTCTCTGTAAGATATCGATTCAAATATGCTTCATTAACACTAACAATAGTATGACATGATATCCTTATACTTTAATATATAAAACACTCTAGACACATATGATTCATGCTTTAAAATAAGGATGCTACTGTTAAATCTCTTGTTCTGATTATAAAAATTATGTACAAAGAGGTTTTGATTGTTTTCAGTTTCTGTCATTTGTGACAACACCTAAAACTACATCTGACCAACAAGTAACTGGTCTTTATACCGACAGCTCTACAGAATCCAACTACCAATTACAACACACCTTATATATCAGAGTGTAACATGAGTTATGATTGGTCAATGATGCTGCAGGTGATTTGATTTGTCAGATGTAGTTGTTGGAAGAAATGAACACCAGTGACCTGAGTCTCTACCAACAAGTGATTTTAAAATTGCATTCAATGAGGACATTTTTATAACAGGTTATGGGTTAGTTAATTGCAGAAAAAAATTATCACTATCGGTACTGAAATGCATCGAGAATTTTAATCAATTCATCTAATGTAAAATTAAATCTCTTAAATCAGAAATGAATTCAGGAAAAAAATACGTGGATTCACAACAACAATATGATTGGCCGAAATTCCCAATTCGTTACAGCCATGGTAAAAATTAGCTACATCATGGTATTCAATCTCCCATCATGCAACATTACATATATGGATTCACTTATACCTCAAAAGATGAAAATTCTTTTATATCGTGTGCACCGTTGGTGAATAACTGAGAAGCGCCACCATTCCAATGAAGACACTCCGCACATGCATTGTCCATAAACACAACAGCTCTCCTAACTTTCGGATATACAGACTCCCAGGAAGCACTGCTGCAACCATGGATGCTTCGGATGCCAGCTGCCATGGTTACAACTGGAAACACAATGATCTGATTGATGACACTGTTTAGGTTTCAGGATGGTAACTCTGAAAAATTAATGGTTTTACAAAAATATGAAATAGTGGTGCATATTGAACTGTGTACCCTTTTTTACACAAATGACAGTAAATGTGTAAACAAAAATACATGTACAATGCAGTTGCAGTAATTAATGACGATCTTCATTCAGTTTCATCTTGAATTAATTAAACTATAATTTGTGATTCGTTCATTCATGATTTGTAGATTCCTGGATTATCCTAACACATACAAACACACACACACACACACAATAATTGGGCTCAGTTAAAAAATATTACACAAACAGCACAATAAAAAAAAATTTATAACAGATTTTCATGGTGCATTACAATTTATACACATAATCACCTTTGAATTTATTGACAGACCCTCAGCCATAATTATAACCCTATCTTTCCAGTGTCCCTCCTCCAGCATTAATTGTATACGCCCCTCTTCGGGATATTATTTAGAGGGGCATATAAAATTACATTGAGATGGGGCTGAAGTGTGAAATCATGGAGTGACGGGGAGATTGTGGCCAGTGCAAATATTTTTTATTCGTGATGTATGATCTGTACATTTTTATTAGTTTTAAATTTCCCCCCTGCAACACCTTGCATGCATTTTCTGGTTGAACTTGATAATTATTTAATCCCATTATGAAATGGTGTTCATAAATATATGATATTGTCATACTGTCAAATTCAGGTTCTGGGCTATAAGACAGTCTTAATCTCTTTAATGACTACTGCAAAAAGTGGAAACTGACTGTCAATATCAAAAAAACCAAAGTTATTATTTTCAACAAAAGGGGCAGAAAAATTAATGATATCTTTTTCTAGGTGATGAACAAATAGAAGTAGTATCTTCATATACATACTTAGGGATCACCTTTCAGAATAGTGGCAATTTTACAGTCTAATAACCTTGTAAAGAAAACACAGCGAGCACTAGGGGTCCTTAAACAATCTCTGCTATTAAACAACATTATTGCCTCACCAATTAATGCAATTAAACTATTTCGTAGTTCTGTTATGCCTATTCTACTTTACGGCTCGGAAATATGGACAGCTTTTAATTTTAAACCTAATATCACCCCCGAATTATTTATTCAGAAATTATTTAGTGATAGCTCAAAAATTGAATCAATCCACATAAAATTCTGCAAACAACTACTTGGTGTTCACAAAAGGACAAGTAATATTGCTGTTAGAGCAGAGCTTGGTAGTTATCCCCTAATTACTGAAATTTGTACCCAAATGTACAAGTTTTGGTTAAGAGTAAAAAATAAAGAATGCAGTAATATAGCGCACTGTGCTTTATATCAGTCAGAGTGTACAATCAATAGTAATTCATGGGCAAACTTTGTTAGCAAACTACTTGAAATAACTCGATTAAATGAAACGGATCATAATGCTAACATTTTTAGAAACAATCTTAAAAGAATTTACTATGAAAAAATTTGGTTGCCAACTCTATCCAAAAAAGAACATAATAAACTACATATTTACAATAAATACAAATCAGATTATGAATTTGAACCATATCTGAATAAAATTAATAATTTAAATCACAGAGTAAGTGTAACCAAATTTAGAATTTCAGCACATAAATTACCAATTGAAAAATTAAGATACCAAAAAATACCCTCAGAGCAAAGATTTTGCACACTGTGTTCTGAACAGTCTGTTGGTGATGAAATGCATGCTCTTTTTGACTGCAAACTATACAATGATAATATTTTAAAATTACCTAAACAAGATAAGTTTGTGCATATTATGGGAATAAGACAGTTTCATTGCCAATAGTCTAGGAAAGTTTATTAACATAATTTTACAATGTAATACCTAATAGTTGTTAGTGTTATCTGTTTTACCATTTTATTTTATTTTTTTATATCTGTATTTCTTGTTATTGTGTTATTGTTATTATTGACCATGGTTAATGTATTTCCAATTCATTAATTTGAGTCAAATAAAATATACTATACTATACTATACTATTATAAGTTATCGGGGATTCTGCATAGAGAATATGACTGAATTCAGAGACACGCTTTCACCACACACAAAATACACAATACTACTTGTTCAGAATCTTGTATTTTGTTAACACTTACTCAATTCAGCGGTTTTCCGATTACAGAGGCTACCATATTGGATATCAGGTGCAATGTGGGAAGTTGGTGTTTACTTCCGGGTTGTTGACCCACGTGTGAACTCTACACAAAAAAATTACTGGCATGTTCGTAGCAATTCTTGAAGACTTATGAACTTCCGTGCTCTATTGTTAGTTGATGTTGTATTCAGATCGGCAGTGGCTGTCAAATTTAACAGTTTGCCTGCCTCAGTTTTCGGTCTCCCGCAGTTGTGTAATAAACCTGTGCTAGCAAAGTCGACACCAAGGCGTTGGGCAACGAGTATGAGCGACGATCAAAAACTTGCAGCTGTTCCCGAAGTTGACATCGACGATAATGGACGGTTTAAGTACATTTTAATCGAAGTGCACACCGATAGTGGGAATTCTAAGCATGTTGTGAGGGGATATGGGTGGGCAGGATTTCACGGTGAGAACCATGTCATTTAATGCGGGGTACGGTGAAATGTAATACGAGTTACACGTTACACCGGGTACGGTAGTTGGGGGAAATGTAATTGGACGTTCGTTACTAAGGGGTTGACCATTACAAATTCTGGAAGGGGACATAGTAGAAAAACTTGCCATTTTTTTTCTTTTGCTTACCTCAATTTTTTTAATTTTTTTTTTTATGATTGTAGATTTTTTTCTGTCATTAAAATTTCCCTGTAGAATATTAATTTTTGAAACTTTCCTCTGTATAGACTTTTTTCTTTTAAAATCTAATCCCTGTGCTTTTAATGTAATAGCCAATCCCTAAGTATAAATAATTATCATTATACCTACCGTAGTACTGCCCGGCCTTGTAAAGCTATTTGGGAAGTGCACCCTCACATCAGGGCAATAATTGCACCACCATGTTTGAGGTGACACTGTTACAAAATTGTAATTACCCGGTACATCTATAAGGTATATGATAAAGCCTTCAAGGACTGGAAACGGCATTTGCTGCTCTTGTTTGTACAGCTAATGCACACTCGCAAGCTAGGTTGCTCCCACCACACGACCTTGGGCCACAAAAGCCATATCCAGTGTATAAAGATTATTAGCAAATGTAATACCTGTGTGGTTCTACTGATTTATCTGTAATAATATTCTGGGATATTTGCATCAGCAATATCAGAGTAAACATTTTTTTTCTAAAGTGAAAACTAAGGAAAAATATGATCAAATTTGCGCAATTTTTTAACAATGAACTACTTTTGATACTTTATTTTCGCTTGGAATTTATTTTCGCTATTTTTGCTGAAGGGATGATTCTGTGAAAATAAAATCCAGTGAATATACTTTTTTTCCTTTATTTCCCATTAAACACATCAAAAATCAGTGAAAATAAATTCCATACAAAACGCCAAAAAAGCCTTTTTAGCGAAAATTAATTCCAGCGAAAATAAAGTATTCCACAGTAACCAAAAAGGAAAATGAAGTCTGGTTTACCTAGAACATACTAAGGCTTGTGTGTGATAAGACATTAGTATCGATGTACAAATGTATTTAATTTTTCATGAATAACTTTAATTCTAAGCCTGCCCCTCTAGTGCCCCTCCCCCATTGTATTTGTATATGCCCCTCTTCAGTACACATATAGTTATCTAGAGGGGCCTATACAATTACACAGGAGTGTTGGGATTCAGGTTACAAATGGGAATTTGTTGTTGGGGTGGGGCTTAAGAACTCTTTCTGTAGAATGTTTTGTAAATTATGAAAATAAACTTTATTTATTTTCAGCCGATGTCTATGACAAAGTTGTGCCTGGAATCGAAGCACTAGGGCTTGATTGTGAATGCAAAGGCGGTGGTAGAATTGAACACCATCAAGAAGAAAAGAAATTATTAGTTTATGGATATTCTATTGTGAGTAATTTATGAATAATCACCCGGATTTATATTACTATACTCATGGGTAGACGCTTGTTTTTAAACAATGACATGCTATGGCCATCTGATGCATACACAGGTGACAACTCCCACGCTTTAAGAGAAATAACATACGCAATTATGCTGAAACTGTTTGTTGCCATCTCAAATACCTGTTAACATAAATGAATAATGTTTGTTATAAGTATTACTAAAATAATTGTCTATTCTACACATTACAAAGAAGAAAACTTGTTTTCTAAAGTTGTAAATTCTAACCCGATATGAAAAATGGACAATATAGTGCAATTAATATATAAAAAGTATCATCTATATTTTTGGATTCATTTTTCAGGGTTATGGAAAAGCTGATCACTCCATTACCGTTGATTTATTAAAGAGAAAATATCCTGATTATGAAAGTATAACATTTACCAATGAAGGCTATTAGTGATTGGACATATTGTATTTGTGACTGGGTTTATAGCTTTCGTAAAATATACGTGTTTTAGATATTTTTCCAAGATGGTACAATTAACACATAAGCACACTGGTTAATGAAGGAACTCACATATATTGTTCGCTATTGAACGAAAATTAATGTAAGCAGTGTCACTCTCTAATGTGTAGCATTGAAAAGGCGGTAGTCGTCGTGCCGTGCATGTGCGACATTCATGTTGATAAACATTGATTTTCCCACAATCCAATGCATTCTTCTAATGGAAATCACAAGTATGAAATTTGACCTGGGCGTGACTTGCAGTGATTACTGCCGGTGACTCCTTGGATACCCTCCAATCACCTAAAAAATACCTAATTAAAGCTTGGTAATGTCTCACTTTGTAACAGTCAAAGTAACCATCTATGTTTATATGAGACCCATATATCTCTCTTGCATGCGTGGCCCGATGACTACCGTCCTTTAAACTGATAAATGAAGGATAAATATTCTGACTTTGGTTCTGGTAATTCCAACCTGTAGTACGAGATATTTGAATACGTTTGCAAGGCTAGCAAGTTAAAACTAACCAACCTAGGCCGTTATTATAGAGGTCTTGGAAATGTTGGAAAACACACAGATTCTTATCTACTGTGTTTATGCCCAAGCAAGGAATTTATAATTTTATAAATTATGTTCAGAACTGAGATGTGTTGCAGTGTATTTCATCTCAGAAATCTTTGTATATATATATATCAATACAATCCAATTTTAGGAAAGCATTCAACATAGGATAAGATTTGGATTGTTTGAAATCATTATGACTGGTTGATTAATATATGCCTTATCATATCATTAAGTAAAACATACCTAATTTTTTATTCGGTTTCAACAATGAATGTAAACAATTGCATTTTTTCATGCTAAATAAATTTACTGCAATCTATAGTTGATGTGTTCAATGTGTAATTATTAAAGACTTAAGGTATAGAATAGAATAGAATAGAATATTTTTTAGTTTTACATTTATTTTTTTGGTTATACAAATGATAATAATTTTTTTGCTTAAATACCACAAAATACTTCATACAAAATGTTCATCTCTATCCCAGAGTGTCACTTCCATTTGGATGTCCATTACAATAGTATATTATTATTTTAATACTAAGGGGTTGAACATGAAAATGTCTGGGAGGGTTATTTGGCAACACTACAAATTGATACTAAGGGGTTGGCCATGAAAATGTCTGGGAGGGGCATTTGGGAACACTACAAATTGATACTTGGGGCTGAAAATGAAAATGTCTGGGAAGGGCATCTTCTGCCTGCACTGTGTTGCTCCGTTCGAACATTCCTCCCTCCACAACACCGTGCGGTAATTCTATTCATAACCGTGTATGTCACGTGGTTGCGCGATAGAAAGTTTACCGACCAATAGAAAGCTTTGTCACATACACATATTCCTAATGCAATACTTCAAGGTGATAGTGGAGTGCTTCGCCGGAACATTCACCTTGAAAATTCAAGATGGGGAAGGGGATTTGGGAACACTACAAATTGATACTAAAGA